ATGTTTTGTGCTTTTAGTTGGAAATCGGGGAGGGGGTATTTTGGGGGGTTGGATGGGTAAACTGGGGTCTGGTTGTAATTTTAACAGTGATTTAGGATATGCTGTACATTTTGTGTGTATTTTGTAATTAAAATTGGTTGAATGGTTGAAACTGAAGTTCAGTTTTTTTCCTTGAATTTATTTTGAAATCCATAGAGCATATGGTTCATTTTTTTCAATTAGACCCTGGAACTTTCCACATGAGCCTCCTTCAGAATATGACAGTCAATAACATCGACCTCATATTTAAAAATATATTTGAATTTAGGCTGGCAACAGTTACTGGAGAAAGGATTCCACTTCAAATTTTGATATTTTTAGCCTTAGAAAGATACGTTAAACCACAAGAGTTAATTTAAAGTATTTTTTCTTTGTTTTAAGTTCAGACACCATGTAGAAGACATTTTAAGTTTTGTATGTCTTTTTCCATGGGCTCAGGTGCACTTAACCTTCCATTTTATGTTCTGAATTGTTCCTTAATCTTCAAACTTGCTCATCACAGATGGTTTTATCATCATGGTGGTGGCTGACAGGGAGTACCACTGCCCATGCCAGCTTTTCCAGAAGATTCCGTCAGCAACAGTGGTGTTATATCGCCCTCTTCTCGCTAGGTTGCCATTCAGGTTTGCCGTGTTGTCGTCCTTGTTGAACCACCAGCCTCCGTGTCGCTTTGCGGCATCACTGTAACTGCTGTCTTTGTCTGGCGTGTAGAACTTGACGCCCTCGCTGCTACTGAGAGAGTCACCTGGAGGTGTTGGAAAACATTAAGATGTTGTTAATTGAAACCATTCTGTATATATATTTTATATGGGTTTTTCTTAAAGAGTACTGAAGGTGTTGTCAAAACAGTTTTTGTCTTTTCTTCCTTTTCTTTTTCTCGCCACTACAGTTTTTATGTACAGACACAGATGTGTCTGTACATATTGCCATCATCTGCGTCTGTCGTCGCCGTCATCGCCGATGGCGATGGCGATGCCGATGCCGTGCACTTTCCTTCACGATAAGTGGAACACAGTTTTATTTTTTGCTTTTATATTTACAGAGCTGATGAATATTCATAAAACGCAGGTCAAGTTCGAAAATCAGCATGATCGGGCCATTATAGTAGAAGTTATGCTGTTTTTTCACTTTTCAGCATATATACAACCCTGTAAACACATTTTAAGGAAAACCGTTAGGCCTGTTGTCATGAAACTCACAGGAGTAATCAATCTTACTAAAACGTAGGACAAGTTCGAAAATCAGAATGATCGGGCCACCATTTTAGTAGTTATGCTGATTTTTTAATTTTTCATTATATATGCAACACTGTAAACACAATATAAGAAAAACAGATAGGCCAATTGTCATTAAACTCACAGGAGTGGTCAATCTTACTAAAACGCAGGTTGAGTTCTAAAATCAGCATAATCGGGCCATTATTTTAGAAGTTAAGCTGTTTTTTCACATTTCCTCAGATTCAGTTCTTAGGCATGTTAATAGCCTTATTATTTAACTAATTAGATACATAAAAGTGTTTGTTTGACATTTCCTGCATCTTTACAATATTGTTAGTTGATTATGTAAAAATTATGGTAAACTTGCCATCCCGTTTTGTGTAATAAAGTGTCAAAAATGGAAATAAACTCATATTATTGCAGTTTGTCAGATTCAATCATCCACTATATTCAGAATCTCAGAATGGACGAAATTGGACATTTAACACTGTTCTATTGATATTTTTCCCATCTCATCAATTTTCTTAGTTGATCATATAAAAATTGCAGTAAACTGTTTATTTTGTTTTATGTTAAAGTAGTGTTGAAAATGGAAATAAACCCATGTCAGAACAGTGCTGTCTTGTTTACATTTTGGCATTTTCAAGGTGTGACTTTGAAGTTCCATTGGCCTGAAGACCTTTGCTGGTCATGTTTTCTGAATGTCCATGTTACTAATATTTTATTATTAAAAATTGATGGTCATTATGCTGTTAAACATTATGTAATGTTGCATCAAAATTTGAAGAAACCCCTGTTTTGCGCACTGCTCCCATGATGACCATTTCAGAAAAACCATGTCACTTACTGTTTTCAAACTAATTGGAAAGAAACATGGAACTAAAATACAGCTTCCGTAGGCAATGCAGTCTGTTTGGTAAATTTTCTGGCAATTAAAGTTTTTTGTGAAAATTTAATTTTTCACATATTTTTCAGCTTATATGCAACACTGATAACACAATATAAGAAAAACAGATAGGCCAATTGTCATTATACTCACAGGAGTGGTCAATCTTACTAAAACGCAGGTTGAGTTCTAAAATCAGCATAATCGGGCCATTATTTTAGAAGTTATGCTGTTTTTTTCACATTTCCTCAGATTCAGATTTTAGGCATGTTAATAGCCTTATTATTTAACCAATTAGATACATAAAAGTGTTTGTTTGACATTTCCTGCATCTTTACAATATTGTTAGTTGATTATGTAAAAATTATGGTAAACTTGTTATCCCGTTTTGTGTAATAAAGTGTCAAAAATGGAAATAAACTCATATTATTGCAGTTTGTCAGATTCAATCATCCACTATATTCAGAATCTCAGAATGGAGGAAATTGGACATTTAACACTGTTCTATTGATATTTTTCCCATCTCATCAATTTTCTTAGTTGATCATATAAAAATTGCAGTAAACTGTTTATTTTGTTTTATGTTAAAGTACATGTAAGTTATCAGAAGTTACCTGACCTCTAGACATTTTATCTTAATAGACTTCAAAAGATAGACTCCTAGTCATAGTCCATCAATGATTTCATGAAACAGAAACAATAAAATCACACGATCACTTGCTCCACTACAAAAAAAAAAAAAAAAAAATAAAAAAAATAAAAATAAAATTCCAATCATGAGAGAAACAATTCCATAAAACAAAAACGAAAAAAAAAAAAAAAAAAAATAGCTCAGCACTATCATCGGTACCATGGCATAACAGGCATGTCCCGTCTGTTTAATAATTAATAAGTTGCTGTCAAAAAAGAGATTGCAGTAACAAGGAGACGTAGTAGAAAATCATGACAAATATCTCCAATTAACTACAATCAACCAGGATCACAAACCGATTTTTACATTATATCCACAGATAAATCTCTAGAAAAGTTTGTGTACATATTTGTGCCGCTAAGAAAGAGTTTTTGCATGGAAATAACGTCACCACTCAGCTGATTTCTAGTAGTATTGAGGGCGTGAAGAACAAAAGAGAGAACTAACATACTGCTGAGATAACTGATTAATTGTAAACGAGTCAAGTATTTTTCCAAGCCAGTAGTGTTAAATTTGGAGAAAAGTGCACATAACTGAAGTAAGATTAAAAATCTCTACTTCACAAAAATGAAATTATTCAAATTTCAATTATGTCAAACTTAATTCCAATACTCTATCTTCTCAATATATATTTTTCTCATTTCTTTTCAAAATAATTCCAGAAGTGTTTTCAACTTAAAATTTTCACGTCTTCATTGGGAAATTAACATCTAACTTTTGAATTTTGTAAATGGTTTCCTACAGGGGCGGACCCAGAGATATTTTCTGACAGTCTTTCAAAGTGTTTATCCATCGTAGATTTTTGATCGCCTTTCAACAGAAAAAACTTATGCCTGTCAATGTAAACAAGACAAATTTGAACGTCTTCTGGAAGACCCAGATGACGGCCTTCATCAGGCCTTTCTCTATTCAGTTAACTATTCACCTTACATAAACAGCAATTCAAATCAAAGCTTCAACAAAATAAAGATAGCAAAATTATATTAGTGGTATGAATTACCAACATCTAAACATTTACCCGCTCCAGGTGACTCCCTTAGTAGCAACCAGAGGGTCAACTTCTACACCCCAGACAAAGACAGCAGTAACAGTGACGCCTCAAGGCGACACTGGTCCTGGTGGTTCAACAACATCAACATCACGGCAACCCTGAATGGCAACCTAGATGAGGGTAGCTGACGAAATCTTTTGGAAGAGTTGGCATGGGCAGTGGCACTCCCTGTCAGCCAGAACCATGATGATAAAACCATCTGTAAAGGTTTAGGACAATTTAAAACTTAGAATGTAGTATGTTAATTGTATCTGATCTTTAGACAATATATATTTAAAATTTGAAATGCCATGTACTAAATGGTGTCTCACCTTAGAATACAGAAAAAGGCACTCTAAACTAGCAAAACTGTATTGGAAGAGGGTGCCTAAAATGCTAAAAATGTTATTCTTTCTTCGGTAAGTATTGCCCAATTTAATCCATAAACAGTTAAGTCAATATCAGATTCCAAAGTAGGCTGATGTAGAAAGTTCCAGGGTCAATGTCGAAAAAAGGAACATAACGCTTCATAAATTTCAAAAAAAAAATGTGATAAAAAAAATGGTGCAATCGAAAAAGAAAAAAAAAAAAAACGAAGAAAGTGCACTCAGAAAAAAAGGAAGAAAAAATCATAACAAAGAAAATGTCAATATATGTCGGTACCTCCTTCATTGATGAAAAACTAGTAAAAATTAATCATAGGGGAAATAAAACGCAGTTATATCTTCATCTGATTCACACAGTCACTGTTTTCTCACGACAATATGCGTATTATCATTAAATGGGAACTTTCAACAATTACTATTCAGCGCCAATTCCATTCATTTCTATTTCTGCCTCTTTCAATCTCTAGCGGCCTTCTCCTCGTTTACATTACATTCCTCTGCTTAAGTATTATGAGGACGTGTCAATCAACTCGATTACTCTACAAAATACTCCCCGCTGCTTATTCACTCGGGGTTGTCAAATATTGACATTACATGCATTATCAGGACCTGTCCAACAACTCGGCGTATAAAAACAAACGCCAACTTAACAGCGCTTACAGTGTGCTTGCTAACTTTAATTGTATAAAGACAGATTTTGCTTATTTTCTCTCTCGGTTGTTCATCCCAAGAGAAGTTTACTTCATAGATTATGTCTTTCGACGAGAAATACATTGAAGAAACAAAGAAAATCGCTGAACAGCATGGACTAGAAGCCCTCGTATCTCATCTGCAAAAAAATCTAACTGAATCTGAAAATGTCAAGGTCAATATTGCTGTAACGGGCATATCCGGTTCAGGAAAATCTTCATTTATCAATACCATTCGAGGTTTGACACCTTCCCATGAAGGAGCTGCTGATGTTGACTGTGTAGAGACAACAAAGAAACCGACACCATATCCTTTCCCATTTGATGAAAATGTTAAAATTTGGGACCTCCCAGGTCTTGGAACACCAGGTTTCACACAAAAAAATTATGTCAGACGAGCGGAACTTGATGATTACGACTTTTTTCTTATCCTTACACAAAAACGCTTCACTAACGATGGTCTGTGGTTAGCAAACAGGGTGAAAGACATGGGAAAGAATTTCTTTTTTGTGCGTACTCACTTTGACAATGATTTGGCCAATAGTGAGAGGAATTTCCCGGGCAGATACAAAGAGCATGAACTACTAGAAAAAATAAAGGAAAACGTCAAGAAACATGTAGATGGAGAACAAACAAGTCAACAAGTGGAGAAACCAGAGTATGTTTATGTTATATCCACAAATTTCGATGATACTAAAAAGTGGGAATATGGCAAACTGGTGGCGGATATGAAAGAGGCTCTTCCTGACGTAAAGCGCCAAGTGTTAACCCTAGCCCTCTGGGATCTCTCAGAAGCTTCGATAAAAGAAAAAAGTGCTGTTTGGAGATCACTTATTTGGCCGGGTGCTTTGGCCTATGGTGCCATAGGGGCAGTCCAGGCAGTAGTCCCAGGCTTACGTTCGTTCGATATGCCTACATTAGCTAAAATAGAAAACCGCTTTAGAAAAAGCTTTGGGTTAGACGATGCCTCACTCGAACGCCTTTCCAAAAGAAACGGGGTCCCTTTGGGAAAATTATTGTCGCTGGCGAAGGGTTGTTTTGACATGTCTTCCTGCAAAACGATCGAAGAACTCATCTTAATGTATGCAGGTGCGGGTGCCGAAATTGCCTTTTCTCCAGGTAGTCCCATGGTCCCTGTCGTTGCCGGCAGTGCATCCTTCGGAATGGCACTGTTTGTTCTTCCCAAAATATTGGATCGCATGGAGAGGGTTGCAATAGATGTTATCAAAGCGGCTTTAGAGTTCGAAAATAATTGACATAGGTAAGCAATTGATCTGACATTCTCAATCCACAAAAATTGGCAAGGGCTTACATTATTTTGCCTTGTCTTTAATTATTCACCTTGGAGTATGTGAAAGAGAGAGACAATAGGGTCGATGGCCGATAATAAGTATTTAAAGTGAATGAGATAAAATATTACCTATTTTAGCCACGGGTCGAAGTTTAGAGTACAAAAATAAATGGCAAGAATCAAGACACTTTTGTAAAACAACCATAGGTCATTATCTCACATTTATAAACAAACGCTATAATGGTTTAATATGAATATCGACTTAAATTAAATGCACAAGTGATGTATTTAGACAATTGTATTCATTTTTGATGTTATTGAGATGTAGATGATTTTGATATGTCACTATGTCTGTATATATATAGTTTAAATTGCGCACATTCTGTTGTAGTAAAAAATATGTATTCTATCGGCAGTTCACGCTATTGTACTTATAGACTTAAAGGACGTTGCAAAAAATTGAAAAACAAAATGAATGCATAACTTTTCTTTTTTATGGTCACATGACCTTCAGTGTTAATTATGTTTTTTCAATTTGTGTATTTTAGACTTTAGGTATTCTTATTCCTTAATCAAATGTTATATGTCTTTATTAGCACGTTGTATAATCAGGCCCGTAGCCAGCAAATTCAAAAGGGGGGTTCTTTTTCTGAAAAAGTGGACCTTTTATAATAAAACCTTTGTGTACATAGATCAAATTGTACCCAGAATGGACCTTTTCTGAGAAACGGGGCGGATCTTTGGAACCCCCCGAAACCCCCCCCCCCCCCCCTGGCTACGGGCCAGATAATGTTGGATGAGCTTGACTGTGGCTATATAATCCTTGTTATATCTCATTTCAGTATAGCTAAATAGTACTAATGATAACAAATGGATTGTATCAATACAGTGGTTACATACGATTTAAGATAATTGATTCAGAGTCTTAGTAATAGAAACAAGATCAATTCAAAGGTAATTGTCACTTGAAAAACAAACAAAAGTAATTCAACACCCTCGTATAATACTTTGCATTTGTGGTTGAATGTGTAACTAGTATAAATGATTTTATACCATTTATACAAAGAAATTTTTTTTTTGTTTTTTGTTGTTTTTTTTTAGAAATCATTCTACATGTTGTCTTTTGTATATTATTTTATCACACACTGTTCTTCCATGGAATGTAATCTGTCGATTTGATAAAATCAAATTTTGTGTTCAGAGGCATAGATGGGGCCGTAGAAAGTAAGCAAGGGCATGATGATTTCACACAGCTTTGGGACAAAGAGGGAAAATGGAAACGCCGTAACAAGTCTTGTAAAATTATGTACGATCCCCTGAGGTATGAAAAAAGGCAGAGACAATAGGGTCGATTGACATAAATTATTATTTCAAGTGAACGGGTGACAATGCTTTACGTTAAACATAGGTAGATGTACGGTTGCACAGTTAATAGGAAAACAACACTACTATTATCTGAACACTGCTATTATCTGACCTAGACAGCCTAATGCTGTAACGGTCTTTCCTGTATATAAGGGTTTGTTATATTTTATTAAGATGTGATGTCTAGGTCAATTGTTTAGATCTTAGCGTTACTGAAATGTAAACTAATTAAATAGTGTGCTGCACCTGTTAATCCCAATGTTTTAAAGATACAAGTTTCAAAATCCCAGTGATACAATGTAGAAACAAAATTAAATCAGAGGTTTACAATTGTCACATGAAAAGCAAACCTTAATTATACATCTTCGTGTCCAAGTAAACGCTTTGCTTTTGTGGTTAAATGTGATACTGAGATAAATTATCATTTACAATAAATTATGCAGGAGAGGGCTTTGAAAAACATATATTTTTGGCCTTTATGTCTTATCAGGGTTTTTGCGCTGTGTTCTCCCGTGGGATTGAATCAATTGATTTGATACACTCAAATGTTGTGTACTAATGCATAGACGAGACCGTGAAAAAAAGACAAAAAGACAAAAAAAAAAAAAACGATATGATTATTTCTCGTATCTTTGAAACTAATGATAAATAATGTAGGTTTGCTCAGATGTGAGAAGTCCACATTAACTAAGTTGATCTTTTTTCTGATACTTTCTTTTCTCGTAACTGAACTGAATTTTGCAGTTTTAAATTATTAGACCCTGGGAATGTATTTTTTGTAAACAACGAGGACTTTAATACATAACGTTCAAAAGTGTTGTCTTTCGTATTTTCTTTTTACCTTTTTTCTCAAATGCGTGCTATTACTATCATAAAACAGATATTGCAGGCCGATAGAATCAAACTTCATTTTTGAAAGCATATGGTGATGCTGTTAGATCAGTTTGTCCAAGAAATTAAGCTTTGAATTTCTTATACGAAACTCATGTCACCCATAGGATGCATTGTAATCAAACTTACTGGATTTCTTTTTTTAATTAAAGAGAGAGAAACATCCCCTGTGCAGTAATTATCAATAACAGTTTTATATGAAAAAAATTCAACATTACCAATATTTGTATATTACGGCTGTGCATATTATGGCATTCGCCTATGACTAACTGCATCTGAAAGCACCTGTACGAGAGAGTCTCCTCTGATACAGGGTCCGGTTCCCTTTCCTTTGCACGGAGTTTGGCCCACTAACCTCACCTTAACCCTAACCTGTATGAAACTAATGAATGAAGAACTTCCGTTACTCGAACACACGGTTTCTTATCACAGGAAACGTCATATGCAGGATGCACCGTATAAATTATTCACATACTTATATATAACACTGGACACACTGGACCTCATGTTTTTACATTTCTTTAAAAAAATCTTAAATTCATAATGCATATGTTGGTGGAAATACTTGTGTAGTCTTCTGACTATTTTATACGCTTAAACTTTTCATTTCTGACCGATCTTTATCTATAAACAAAGCTTTCAATCACTACTGCGACCTTCCAGGCCTACCCACATTCCAGACTCGGCACCGAATGATCCTGAATTCACCAGTATATTAGACCACACCACCCGTTTTCAAGGTGTGAGTCAGTACGCATTTCACAGTATCAGACGCGACACCGCTCTTGCCTAGTACGCGATGTGATAGTGACGATTCTCAGCGGGGTTGAAAAGTATTGCATCACCACTCAAAATTTGTTCGGGGTATGATGGGTAGGCCTGCCTGGTAGTTGGGTAGGCCTGCCTTCCTCGGTGTGTATTCCTCTGAGACTGAGCAGTATTCACCGGTGCGTAAAACCGAGTCCACCAATGTAGTCAATATACAGTGTAATACCCCCTTGACATTGGACGGCGTCCTTTCTGCGTCCTTTCTGCGACCATGAAATTTGGCATTGCTGTGGTCTTAATAAGGAGGCACGAGCATTGATTTTGTATCAGAATGAATGCTCAATGATCGGCCAGTTGTCGGCACGTAAAGTATTATAATTTTTTAACTCTCAAATGGGGCCGTACTGCTGGACGCAGAAAGGACGCCATCCAGTGTAAAGGGGGCTTAATCAATATACAGTTACAAAAAATCTAAATTGTCAATGGACAATGCTTTGTTAATTTTTTAACCTTTGGGGTATTTTTCACATACATTTATTAAAATTGATCCTTTGGAAACCAACAGGGTTCATATGTAGGTAGGAAAATAAAAGTAATAAACAGATAAACAGTTATTTCTTATTTTCATATATATATATATATATATATATATATATATATATATATATATATATATATATATATATATATATTACATTATTTTCATTATTTTTCTATTCAGTGTCTAAAACTGCTTATATCCTCTTCCTTTGGAGATGAAGATACAGTAGCTAACACTTTAAGCGATATATAAAATAAACAACGCATGTGACAAACAAAAAAATGTTTACCTGAGAGTCCAGATGGATATTTACTAAATGCAAAGAATTAAATTGATTTATTGTATACTGAATTTCAATTTAATCGAATTAAAACATTCATTTTACAGTAAAGGGAAATTAATTATATAGAGCATAATGCAATCACGTATTCTAACTATATTATTTTAAATACAATATACTTATCATGTAGGTATTGTGTCTTTGGATAATGTCTGAAACGTTATTTTTACATTTCCTCTTTGATAATCTTCAAACTCCTGCGAAGTATGAAACCCGTCATACGATGAGACAGAAATGCCGACAAAGCACACCCTAAGACGGTGACATAGCCAGGGTACGGGCTCACCGTGAAGTAAAGGGAAAACTTTAGGAACTCGCCAAGAAGCCTGCCAACACCTGCAACTTGAAATTTCCATGAGCTCGTGAGACCCAAGCGTCTCCAAGAAAGTTCCGTTTGTGTGAGGGTGTTTGTATAATATTTAACCTGTCGTAGCATTAAGAAAACTTCAACCACCAGGGGAAGAAAAGGAACGGGAACCGCGGCCGCTATACATGGCAGAAAAACAGCTCGCCAGACATTATCACTCAGGGATTGGATTTTGGCTCTGATGGCGGAAGGATAAGGTACGGATGTGGCTTCTGCAACTGTTTCTTTTTTATACGAAGCAGATGCTGAAACATGTCCGAGTTCAACTTGGGAAAGTCCCATTTGTCTTTGTCCTGCAACCGTGTAGAAATCAAGTAGACTCGAGTACGGGTCGCTTTAATGTCAGCGTGTTGAATTTGCGTCTCGCAGTCATTTCGAACTGTATGCAAGCATGATTCCTGGACTGATGTTTTGTCACCCCCTCTTTTCTTGGATGCTATGTCCTGATCAATATGTGTTCGAACATAAAAGAAACGCTTTCATCGTCTGTTCACCTGTTTAACGAGCCACGCGTCTTCTTCATAGAACCTCCCTTGTCCAAATATCAAGTAGAAATCATAATTGTTAAAGTCAACAGTTTCTAAATAATTATCTTTGCCAAATTCTCCAGTTCCAATTCCCGGCAAATCCCAGAAAATAAGGCCTGGTTGATCTGGGTGTTTATATTGCCCTGTGGTACGTTGCGAACCAAAGGCATCTACGGGTGCCGCGCCAGGGTCGTCAGCCCTCAGTCCAAGAATTGTGTTGATGAACTGAGATTTCCCTGAACCCGATATCCCACATAAGGCTACGTTGACTTCAGTGTTCGACCACTGGTTGGAATCTTCCATCTTGAACCTGTTCATGTTCTTTTTGTAAAGCCTTAGTAGTCGTTTCTTGGCAAAGATAGAGTAAAGAGGAGAAAGATATAAACTCCTTCGCCAACTTAATCTGTATGATTAAATGACTCGACTTTCCTTAGGCCCAAGCCACACACTAAAGCATTCGCAAGGTGCAGCATTATTTACAGAATAAACACGTAATCAAGTGATGTGTTTGATAGACAATGGGCGTGGCCAAGAATACCAGAGCTATGTAAATCAAAAGGTGTTATTGAGAAAACATGCACGTTTGCCACCAGTAATAACATTCAAAATGATTTGAACTAATTTAACGGGTGGTTTAACGATAGATTGTAATTTGTTAATTAAAACTGTTCAGATAATACTATGGTACTATGAGGATATTTGAAAACATATTAAGATTAACTTTTAAAAAACTCACTAAAAGGTCAGTTTTTAAGTAGTCAGTGCCCAAGGTATGAATATCTTGGCATATCTGATAGTTCTCAATTTTGGCAAAGTATATATTTTGACACAGAGTATGTGGCATAGTTGTACTTATCTCAGGCAGTTGATGTTTTTTTTTGTGTGTGTGTGTGTTCCCTGTTAGCCATATTGTGCGGTAATGTTTTCGACAGGTCGTCTCTTCTGATACCAAGTGTTGACACTGTCTCGGGCTTAGATAGTTTCCAAGTTTCCATGTAACAGATAGTCCACCTTCTGATACCAAGTGTTGACACTGTCTCGGGCTTAGATAGGAAATAAATACAAACGCCTTACCAAGTCTTGTTAACTACCGATAGCTCAAAGATGACCCGCCTACGTATTTTATGCTGATCTTTTCTAATAGCGGAATTTTTAAAACTTTTAATACCTGTAATTGAATACTGTGACGCACATGAAATACCAGGTCTGTTGATGCAAATCGATTTTGCTAAGG